TACAATTGTTAACGTTGCAAAATTATTCTAATTACGATTCTACAGCCATTCGATAATTTCGCGTTCAGAATACCGGTCTCTGCGTCTATTATTCTCTAACGAATCGTTCACCAGCGTTTACGAGGGGCCATAAAGTTTTAGGTCGGGCAGCGTGTGTTCGCTGCTCTCGATAAATTTTCCAGTTTCACGAGAAGGGGGCGACAACCTCGTCCCTCCGTATTACGTTCCTGGTATATGCGCGCACGTGCGTGCGCGTTTCACTGTATTTTCATATACACGATCGCGTCACGCGTAAGTACGAGCTCTTAGGGCTCCCGTTAGTGCACGCTAATATACACATAAAGAAACATGTAATGGCTAAATATGACTCACCGAGAATGTGTCGTGTATCCGAGTCGAGTGATTCGGTTCTTCGAAGTATGTACTCGGAGAAGATGGCCGATTACCGGTGATCAGAATGGAAGTGTAATTTTCTTCTCCTCCTTCTTCTCTTCTTCGTCTACAATAAAACAGAATTACGTTAGAGTATGATCAGGTTAGGTTAGAAAACTTTTGTTACTCGAATCGTCACGCAGCGGAATTGGACGAAATTAAAAGAATCAAGCGGAAGTGCATGTGGGCTCGATTTCAAAACACGGTAACGTGTTTCGTGGACTCGTGTTACGTGGATGGAAAATTCGATGATTCAATGAGAGGTTATTTGTAATCGTTTCGAGAAATTACGCGGTATATACCGATAGAATAAAATACGTAGGTTGGCGTGCACCCTGTCTACGTGCATTTCGTCACGACAGAAATTTTATGTGGGCGATGTTTTCTACTCTAGCAAAAATCGTCGGATCGATAGAACTGGCTGCGACGATGTGAGTCACGCAAGCCCGTGTATACGTAACTTCGCGAGTGAAATTCCAGGTGATTGCTCAATTTCGAGCGGGCTTCGTGTCTCAACTATACACCTCTCGACATTGCAACGGAAATTAAGAACCCATTTACCGAACTCGATACTCTATCTTTTTGAATCACTTTTATTATTCTGCTCGTGTATTTTATCGTAGATTTTTTAAATGGGAAATAAATTAGGATTAAGCTGTGCTCTTTACAAATTTACCCGAGATTTTTCATTTTTATTTTTTTATCAATATTATAAGTAGCATTGTCACTTGTAGCATAATAAATATTATATTGGAACTATTTACATTGTATTTGCTAACAATCAGATGCAATTCGAGATTTAAGCGTCAGAATTTATAGAAAGGATAGATCTAATTAATTCTTATGAATATCAAACTGTTTCAAAGATCTTTGTTTATCGACTTGAGTTATCTCTTGATAGCAAACACCTGTTATAGCTAGTGAGTCCAATGATTTATATTATATAATATATAATTCAATAAAAAAAGAATACAACGTATACATATAGGAAAAATTATAAGAATGGCAAGTTTAAGTGAAATGAAATTGAACTACAAATTTTTCCCATGTGAAAATATAATACAATATTCGTGAACCGTAACACGACTTATACCATGATCGTAATAAATATACCGAGGTCTCCAACGTGTTTCTTTTAAATTTTTATTACTGCCCTCTAGCGAAAAATGTCGAAAGATTATCTTCAAGTACGAGAGGCGTAATTACCTTCGACTCTGCATTATGAAACGTCGATATTGGTCGTGTTTCCCAGAAATATCGAGTGGAACAGTTTCTAACTAACCGTGACGCAGCCAACACGAAGATAATTTAAGGTATAAGATACATAATCGATAGAGGGAAGGACAGGCGGCAGACTTGACAGATTGTAAAACTACAACTGTGCGAGGTCATAGAAGCACGTTTCTCGATCAGAAGTACGTGATTAGAAGAGATTCACGTATACGTCGACATATTTACCCGGATGGTAAGGGGCTTCCGCGATATAAGCGGCTGACATTCACTTCTAACGAGCGCGTACAGCACGTGGATAGAAGAAACGCACGCGTACACGATGCAACGAGACCCTTACGTAACTCTGCCCGCGTGTTTCAACGGTTAATTCACAAGTTTGCCGTTTCGATTTCTCTCTTACTCTTTCTTACGCACATGAACGTGTTCTCTCACTCACTCTCATTAAGTTGCAAGTTCGATATTCTAATCTACTCGAATCGCACATTTTGTTTCTTACCGAAGTTAAATCAATATATAGTGTTAATACAAAATTCCTTAGAAGATTAATTATTCGACAAACGTAAATAATTGGTAAAAAAGTATGATGAGACTCACCTTTTGTAGACAGATTTGATAGAAGACAGTACGAGGGAAAGTATATGCTTGCTTATTCCTTCTCCACACAATAAATACACATATTATAAATTAAATTTCATTCACATACACTTCCCGTATACGTAATACAAATGACAGAAGCGAATATTTGGATGCAAAACGGTATTTTTTCAAATTTTTTATCATAGCGTCACTATGCTGTATCCGTTAGAAATTCCACCATGACACTCCTTCGATTATCGAAATTTTACTTGATCGCGATTTTTTAATTATCGATTATCGAAGAGATGCGCGCGTCGCTCTGCAGCGTGACGTCATAAGCATAACTTTAAGCAAATCGTTTGTTTCTTTCGAAATTAGATTATTTCAGTAATTAAGAAATTAAACCGATATATAATATTAATAAAAATCCGTTAGAAAATTAATTATGAGAAAAGAATACGATAAATACGTAAAATTGAGATATATAAATATAAAAGGAAAATATTTTTCTGGTCGACTGGTAGAAAAGAAATCATAATTTATAATAAGAGTTTAAAAAAATACAACAGACGTAAATAATTCGTGAAAAATACGAGAAAACTTACTTATTCATTTAGGTGTCTTTGATAGAAGACAATACTAGGGAAAGTATATGCTTCTTTACACAATAAATACACATTATTAATTAAATTTCATTCTCACGCACTTCTCTTATGCGCAATACAAACGACACAAACGAATATTTGGATGCAAACAAACTGCCTGCAGTTTTTTCTCAAATTTTTTTATCAAACGTCACTGTGCTGTAACGACACCTGTTAGAAATTCCACCATGACACTTCTTCGATTATCGAAATTTTGCTTGATCGCGATCTTTTAATTTCGATTATCGAAAAGAATGCGCGCGCCGCCCTGCAAGATGACGTTACGAGCATAATATTTCAAATCATAATATTTCCTTCGAAAATAGACTACTTCGTTAATTTCACTTACAAATACTGAAATATAAAGTATGATTCACAAAGGAAATTAAATTTATTTAAATTTAATTCTTTTCATATTGATTGACATTGATGCATAACAATAATAAAGAATTATTGAAAAAAGGAAATTACATTGCATTTCCATTAATCAGCACGTATATACATAAAATCCAAACAATTGTATTATTTGTATTATAAATATCGAAGCTTGAATAAATAAATATTTTTACGTTGTAATCCATAAACGGCTGGTGTCATTAGAGCACGTGGCACGTTTTGCAGGGACACACGTGCTTTCTTACATAACTATCACTTGGATTATACTCACACGTTTCCTAACGATAAAGTCAACACGAAACATTCGAGCATTTTAACAAGCACACGTGAACACAAATTATATCTGACTGCTTAGAATCATATGCATTGTGTATGTAATAAATAATAAGATAGATATAAAAAATCGATAATTCAATAAATACTATTAATATTTCGTAGATCGCGGGTTATCGTAGAGCTTTATTTTCCCTCCACAAGTTACTAATGACAAAGTTACTAAATCAAAATATTATTATTCCAGACGTTTATCGTGGCTAATTAACACGTTATGAGAATCCGTCGCGTAATATTTAACCACACGATGACCGATCGCGCTTGATATCTTATATAATTGTACCGCGTGCCCTGGCAAAAGTTCACGCGTATGTCATCGTTATATCGCAAACGTTTTAAATTTTAACATCACAAACGTTATGCGAGCACCATTTTCACTCGTAACGACGCTAAACGAGACTGGTCAACTTTTGCTCACCACTCAAGTCGAATATACGCACCATATATAAAAAATGATTAAAAATATTTGTATCCTTTAATAATTTAAGAAAATTCAACACCACGTCCATACGTACAATCGCGATCAAACGATGTTGTACGAATACAACAATTCGTTTGACTCGGTTCGAACTATCGTTGCTGTAACAAAAAAAAGCGCCAAAATTTCGAACGTTCAAACGACGAAAACGTTTCTCGTCCCAATTATTCGTATTTATTTCCGTAATTTTTCCATAATTAATATCGAAAGGATCGACGGTAGATTTTTATTCCTCGTCGAATGGCGTTGGGTTCGCTGACACTCCCGACCTTGGGGAATAGCCCGACCTTACCCAAGGCTATTTTGCGACTTGTACCCGGACCGGTATTGTTGGCAGTACGGGCACGTCCCTCGATCTCTCGGAATTCTTCACCTTTGCCTTTCGTCCCGAGCCTCTCTCTCTCTCTCTCTCTCTCTCTCTCTCTCTCTCTCTCTCTCTCTCTCTTTCTTTCTCTCTCGTATAACGGTCACGAAAAACTTTACGGGAGGAGATATTCGTACTTGTTGTCGAGCATCTTCCACGTTGCCACGCCTACGCATATTCAACAAAACGATCGTCCTCGAGGGCCCGAAATATGCGGCGTATCTTCGCCACGTTGCCGGTATAGGAGATCGGTTGTGTAAACGATTTAACGCGCTCACCGTGCAAACACGGCGTTAAGGCAATGATCTTAGGTGGCATGCATTACGCGAATACAAATGGCCTCTTGATGTATACACAGTACGCGCACCTTGAACGTACACTTAACGACGCGTGACTGTACTACTACTTGCCAACCGTCCTCGGTGATTTTTTTCTTTTTCCTCTTTTTTTTTTTTTATTAATATTTGCTTTCGTAGATAAGATACTGTAAAAACGAGTATCTTATAAGTATAACGCAAACAACGTTATTTCGTTTATCGTGTAACGATGGTCAACGATGTCTATTATTTTATCTCATAGTTATATAGATCTTTTCATTCAAAAGTCATCGATAAAATGATTAATCGGAACGAAGGAGCGAATCGTTCTGGGAAATCGTGATTATCATCGAAGAGTTATTCGAAGTCGCGTTAGCTGTTCTGACGATCAGTTTTCATAAATCGCGCGTCATCGGATTAGCCAGGATGGTTTGATTACAGTTTCTAACACTTCGGATCGTTGTTATAGTTTATTACGCGGTGTGTCATAAGGAAGGAATGAATTACATTGAATCACGTCGTCGTCGTCGCGAATCGCGGTCGATCGAATTGGAGTCCCTCCGGTTTCGAATAAGGAAAGTGTACAGTGTACACACGGATCGGATCGATATGGATCGTATAATTCGAAACACCGAGTGTAATCAACGATCGACAACGGTCGGTGTGTGTGAAGAAAAATGACGACATATAGGAAGGAGGTCGGCTGTTAGAAATCTCCTCTCACGAGATTGTTTTCCTTCTTCCTGATTCCGTATCGCGCGACCTTCTTTTTCACAATGGCCGCCGTCACTCGACAGACGTTGCGTGACGGACACTTTACCGTACAAGGATTACATTTCGTACGTGGTTAGGATCGGAAACGCGTAAACGCGGACTAGACGTTTTGCGTCACTGTACACTGGTTGGATCTGGATGGAAATGTTCCATTGAAAAGAATCTTCGAAAGGGGAAATTGTTCGTGTCGAAGAGAATATAATTTTTTAATCCCCATGTATGCCAATTTGTGTAAATAAAACGAACATATAACATCGTAACGGAATGTTCGAGAAAGGAAAATGTGCAGAATTTCACGCTCGAGCGAATTATCGATTGCAGATTATACAGTCGCATCCCCCGATCTATTTGCGTCTTACGTGACTAGCCATGTCATCGAGTCGGTTGGCACGACTAGCCGTTGGCACTACTCTCGTCACCGCCGTTAATAAACTCGTGTGTTGACTCGGGAATCGTTCTCTCCTCCGACACATTGAAATCATCGTCGTAATATATACGATCCTTATTAATCCAACAGTCAGAGTTAGTTAATATATCCGTATCCGTACAGTGATATGTGCGTTCTACTAATCCATCCATTTCTCGTTTTCGCAGATGTACTAAGAAGACAAATTATGGTGGCAGAAATTGTCGCCCGTCAGAGTGGATCGCCCATCAATGGTGAGACCGCGTGTCTGAACAGCAATATGCCGGCCACTCACACGATAGCGCACACGAGCCACGGTGGCCACGGTGGCCACGATGCCCACGGGCCCCTGCCGCCCCTCACCCATCCGGTCCACCACGGCGCGCCACCGTTAACGTTGCAACAACAGCAGCAACAGCAGCACCAGCACCAGCCCCAACACCAACCGCCGCCGCCTCAACAGCAAGCCCCGCAGCAACACCATCACCACCATCAACCGCAGCAACAGACGCAGCAACAGCAACAGCAGCAGCAGCAACAGTCGCACCACCACCACGACGCCCAACAGGTGACACATCCAGAAAATTTCCCCCCGAACTTCGACATCAGAAAAGAGCTATTTTCCCAGCGCAAGCAACGGGAGTTCATCCCGGACAACAAGAAGGACGACAGCTACTGGGACCGTAGAAGGCGTAACAACGAGGCGGCCAAACGATCGCGAGAGAAGAGGCGTTTCAACGATATGGTGCTCGAGCAGCGAGTGATGGAGCTCAGCAAGGAGAATCACATTTTGAAGGCGCAACTCGAGGCGATACGCGATAAATTCGGGATATGCGGCGAGTCCGTGATCAGCACCGAGCACGTGTTGGCGGCGTTGCCTACCGAGCCACCGATAGGCGTGAAAAGGGCGAAGATACCGCCCTCTGCGGCCCTCCTCTACGCGAGAACTCCGAGCCCTGTCCACACGTCGGTCATACATCAGCCGGTAAGCGGCGCGAGATCGCCGAGATCGCCGGCGCAGCTGTACGTGGCCGAGACGCCCTCGTATCCTGAAACGGAGAGTTTCCAATACACTTACCCCCACCCGGCCATGCATCTGGACACGACGAGCGCCCTCAACTTGTCGCGCGGTCGACGCGCCCAGTCACCGTTCGAGTTGTCGTCGGGGAGCGGGGACGAGGGGCCGCAATTGGTCGTAAGCTCGCAAAATCCGGCAGCCAACAACAGTCTACCTCACAAATTGAGGCACAAGTCGCGCATAGGCGACAAGGATGCGGCGAGCGCTCTGCTGGCCCTGCAAGGTATTAAACAGGAGCCGGGGCCGAGGGCGTCACCGCCGTGGGACAACGAAGGCTCGAGCGACGAACGCGATTCGGGCATCTCATTGGGCGCCGAGTGGACCGGTTCGACCGTTACCACCGTTCCCGAGAACGAGAGGGAGGTGAAGTCGAGGTTGGATCGTCTCGCCTCCGAGGTGGCATCCCTGCAATCGATACTTCGCATCGGGAAACCGGCGGAGAGCAGTCTGGTCACGGGTCACTCATTACCCCCGAACGCCGTGAACGGGCCGTGAAACGAGCGGGCCTCGTCGTATCCTCTTCATTAAATTTTTCGAAGGAAACGGGCGAAACACGTTGCTCTTTGTATCGCGACGATTTCTCGAACGCGAGAATGGCGAGAGAGAGAGAGAGAGAGAGAGACTTCTTGATCGCACGCGCAAACGAACGTGACGATGACGATATTGATTGATAGATAATAGATGGGAGTAGCAGTCGAGTGATCGTCGCTTGATCTATACGTTCTTTCTTCATATATGCGTATAAAGGAATCGAAGCAGAGAGACGAAGAGGAAGAAGTGTATCATCTGTCGAACGATTACGATTACCAACTTTTTGCAGTATTGGATCAGCGTGTACTTGGTAACGGCGGCCAATTGAATACATTTCTTCTCTTGTTTCTAATAAGGACTAAGGAACTAAACACGATCGACGAGACGAATCGAGGATACGTTTCTCTGTTTTTTTTTTTCGGGTGCCCTGTTTGCCAAAATGGGACTCCCTCTTCTGTCCCACGGTATCGTAAGGATTAGATGATAAGATGCGATATCTGTAGGCTATAAGTAACTTATGTAAGTAAGACTTTCTTAGGTTATTTTCGTTTAATTATTATTATTATTATTATTATTATTATTATTATTATTATTATCATTATTATTATTGTTATTATTGTTATTATTATTATAATCATTGCTGTTCATTAGCGAGTTCATTTTACTTGATTGGAAAAATGGTGCGGCGACTAATCAGGCCGATAATCTATTTGTGCACTTAGATTCGAAGCAACGATTCGAATATTCGATAACTGGAAGATTCGATATATTCAATTCGATGCGACGATTCTTTGGCGAATGAGAAAACCAAACTCGTCGATTCGAAGATCTTCGGACGACTCGTTTTTATTTATCCTCGTTGAATTAAAATTCTTATATTATAATATATTAATAAACGCGTCTCGTGATGAAATTTAAAAAGAAAAAAAAAAAAAAGAAAGAAAGACTTCGAAGATCTTCCAATTAACGAGTCCGAGGAATTTCTCTTCATAAAAAAAAAAAAAAATGAATTTATTTTTCGATTAATAATTGGTCGCGCAACCGGCTATCTCACTACCGCCAGTTATCCTTAACGAGTTAACCTTTTCGTTCTCTTACAAACGTTATCGAGCAAAGCAATAACATCTTTGTATTATCGTTCATGATCTCTTCTCTTTTCTAAAAATCGTTCAATGTTTTCGATCGAATGTTTGCGCGGCGCAACATTGCCACGAATTCGTGGTAAAATCTCTGGGAGCTAGTGTTTATTGATGTTCCAATGCGTGGCTTCGATCCCGGTTTATTTACACGTCCGACGATTCTTCTTCTGTCGTCCTCCTCCAAGTCGAATGCGCTACTTAATGTCTTCTTGAAATTCAACCTTGCCACACGAGTCGATCCACAAACAACGCAAATTCCCATCCCAATATAAGTCAATTGCGCCTCGAAGACATCAATCAAAGAGCCTTTCCATTTATCAACCGCGTTACCTCGTCGATAAATCTTTTCTTTATTATATATTCTTCAAAATCACCTCTTCTTTCTCTTTTATTCTTTCTTTCTTTCTTCTTTTTTTTATGATTTCTTTTTATACATTTGTTATTAAGCTATTAACGTGACCACGTGTGTATATATATATATGTACGTATAAACGAGAAAGTGTTTTTTTGAATTTGTTCTTCGTTCGCTGGTGCTTCGTGCTGTCGTCGAGAAACGAAGGATCGAGCGGAAGAAACGAGACGTTAAACGCGTTATTTCGTCAGCCTTTTTTTTTTTTTTTTTTCTTTTCTTTTTCATCGTCTATTCGATTCTTTTTCTTTATTCGTTGAGACGGATGGACCGTTGTTGTCCGGTACCACGCGGTATCTAAAGTATTAAGCGAGCCTATAGGTGTTATGTAATATATAGGGCACATAAGCAAGGAATATACATATATACATATAGGTATATGCATATACATATGATATATATATATTTTTTTCAAATTAACGTATTTTTCGATATCGTGAAAGTATAAGAGGAACAGTCTCTGTGTATGTGTGAATGTGAGTGTGTGTGTGAGTATATGCGCGCGTACGCATGCGTGCTGTGCAACGCTTTTGTGTCATACATAAAGAAAGGGCATAACACGATTCTTTGTTTGATTTGACCGCACCGAAGAAAATCGAATCTGCTGGAAAGGAGAGAAAACCTGTAAGAGAGAGCGCGTTATATAATCGAAGGGATTTCTCTTTTCGAAATTTCTAGAGGACGGTCGGAAGGGTCGATCGAACGCCATTTTCATTGATTCGCTACGAAATTCGAGAAAAAACGATGAAAACCAAAGCGATGGATCGCGTAAAAAAATCGCGATCGATTCGTTGTAACGAACGTTTCTATTTATTAAAGTTGAAGAAAGGTGGAGAATTTCGTTCGAATCATTCGAAATGACACGTTCGTTCACGCCTCCCATCGTGCTTCAGTGTGATAAGCCACGAAACGTTAATCTAAAGCCACTATATTTGTAAAACATACCTTTATTTATTATTAATCGTCTGCGCGGAGACACGTAAGAAATAATATTTCGAGCAGAGAATAATATAAACGTATAGATCACGTTGATGATCTCTATATATATGTTTCTTCTTTCACTTATCGAAATACTATTTTTTTCGTTGATCTGTTTATCACGGGAAACAATTGCGCCAATAAAGATAAGTATAATTTAGACGAATGAACGATACAGCATGTTATTTACTATTAAACGCGACGATCGCACTACTTTATGTGGCATTTATAATGTCGGAGCAATTATATTATCATGGATTGGATTGGCTCAAAATTATGATAGCTCGATTATTTTCGAACAACAAAAATCTCTGATCAAACGTGTTACAGGGATCTGCGGCATAAGCGTGTTTCTTAAAGATTTTTAAGACGCATCACAAGACTGTAATAATCGTGATCGGCGTTATTCGCGGAAGGATCTCGTATCTGTGTTTATTCCGCATACTTTCTATACATCTTATTTTCCTATTTTCCCTTTGTTTTCACTTGTTTGTATCTTTTTTTACGTTACTTTCCTCGCGTGAATTTTCTATATTTTATACTACATGTTTATATTATTATTATTACTAATTTTCTGCGAATTATCGCCGATAACGATGCTCGATGAATTAGTTTTTCCTTTTCATTGCCGCCCCTCGAGTTACACAGTTTTGCTCAGAATGAAAACGAGTCATTATAAAGATCACACGTTGAGTAGTGAGACGAGTTGTGTACGATTTAATATTTCTTTTGTCAACTGTCGGACAAACGTGCTTATTTATAACATTTCAATGTAAATATAGTTTCTTTTCTTTCTTTCTTTCTTTCTTTAATTCGGTATTACGTAAATGTGGAACCCTCTGATTTCAACGACTCGATAGTCACGATTTGCACTGTTCCGCAGTTGATTTATTGTAACATACCACGAGTGCCTACAATAACAGCTGTATGTTCTCTCCCATAGTTCATGATAAAGTTTCAGATTTTTTAACAGCTCGAGATTAAAAGCACACACAGTTTATCGAGAGAGAAAAGACGATGTTCGAGAAGGAGAGAAATCCGTATATTTTGTAAATAATGAATGTGTTAACTCGATCACGTTTGTGATCACAGAGAGAATGCCACAATGAACTATGCGTATGTGATGATCGTCGCAAGGTTCTCACTCGCAAATTCCAAATAATCTTTTATCTCACGATTACTTGCCCACAAGAAAATGTTACCTTCGACCACGGCGACTATAAATCGATATTTGTACATAATTGCACTTTTTTTTTCTTTCTTTTGCCAAAAAAAAAAAAAAAAAAACACGCTACTCGTGCCGATGAAACTATGGCAAATATCAAAGGCGTTAATAAATATCGGCCGGAGAAGGAACTTCTACAAATAGCATTTTTGATCTATCGTGTCTCCTCTTATATATTTGTACTCCTGAAATAGCTTCTTTGAGGACGTTTCAAATACAGTTCCTATACAGTATGGTAAAGCGACTTAGAGACTCGGTCGGCCGTTGTCCACATGATAAACATGATTCCAAGACAAGTTTCGATCCTTCTTTCTCCGGCTGTACGGAGATATAAGTATTTAGATCTAAGGAACATATCCACAGCGTGTAGTGTACTTGTATATGAATAAATATTTTCAATGTTTTTGACAATACTTGGTAGCATTTTTTGTTTGTCGTTACCCCAAACATTCTGAAATATTAATTTTAAAGATATAGAATGCATAATATATAATATAAATAACATGTATTCGTATCTAAGAAACCATATATTTCATAAACATAATAAATGTAATGATAAAAATTACTAATGCATATTTAAAAGAATATGCACCAGATTTATGATATTTATAAATATAATGATAGTAGATACCATTAATGTAAAAAAAAAGATATATAAAAAATATATCATAATGTTAATTTGTACAATTCGTGCAGGGATTGCATTTATGACGAAAGAAAAATTATATTCAGTGCTGCTGATGAATATATGATTGTCTAATAAACATTTGAGTGAAAAAAATAAAACAAATATTGATAGTTCAGCGCTATCAACGTTGTAAGTATTGTAAAGAGTGATATAATCCACGCTCCATTTTGCTTTAACAATCATATAATTTTTTTATATGTTTGTTTTATCTTAAAATGTCCTTTTTTAATAGTTCCAAAATTCTTGACTGATAATTCGATAGGTGGGATAACATTCCATTTATTTATTTTACGAAGATTATTTTCGTTTTTTACATTTGGTTCTACCTCGACGTCTACGAGAGGAGTTTGGACGAGTATCTGCTTTCTTTGAAGATCTGTAAATAATTTTTATATCGAACAATTTGTCAAGCTAATTTAAATTATAATATTTATTATAATAATAAAATTTCTTACCTATGAACCCTGTTCACTGAGACGGAAGTGTGTTTCTTTAAAGTCAAGTGCTGTTGGACCAATTCTGCTAATTTGCCTTGTTGAGCAAGCATCGAAAGGAAAGTACAAATAAATTCGTCGTAATTATGTGTTCTACGACAATCATCAATCTGAAATAAAGAATAAAATAAATCTTATTCATAATATTAATAAATTTTCATTAAAATATATTTACCTTATATTTATTTCTCTTGTCATTTTCATCTTTTAAACTAGTTTCACAAATATTAATTTCATGTTCTAAATTCTTTAATAATGCTAAAAGATCTTTAGGTGCAAATGTATGCGGTTCGAACAATTCTGGATATTTCGAACATAATTTTGGATCGATCTTTTCGACTTTCTTCTCTTCGGTAACAGTATCCCCGTTACTAGTTTTTACTCTGGCATGAGGTATCCTAACTTCTCCTGACAGACAGACCTTCTTATGTAAATGACCACTGTCAGAAACTAATCTTTTTCCATTTATATTAATATTTCCAAGAGAACGACCTACTTATGGATATAAATTTTATGTACCCGCTTCCATAAAAATATGAAGATAAGTATCACATTAAGGAAACAATGAAACAATAAACAATGTACGTACTTAAACCCGCTTCATTCTTTTCATCTCCAGACACTCTAATCACGACAAATTTTTTGAAATCTTTTGTCGATGTTGGACTGCTCTGACCAGAATTCCATCCCCATGCTATAAATAAAAAAATTTATTTATTACAAAGAAGTATCTGCATTTGCTTTATTATTACATTTTATACGAAAGAAATCATGATATAATACCTTTTTAATTGTCATCGTACAATAAGAAACAATACGGAAATATTGAGAAACCATAGGTCATATAACTGTATCTCGAAGGTGTCAAAGGAGACGAAATGAGGGGGAATGTGCGAAAGTCAAATAATATCACCTACCGAACTACAAGAATTTTAGTCTGTTGTATGACAGTACCCGTGACAGTAGAACAAAATGAAATTGATAGCTTTTTTTTTATATTCTATTCTAATCACAATCGAATCATCAAAATGTCCAGAATCAAGGAAACCTCATCTCACTAGCTGTACCATATTTTATAATTGCGTGAATTTGCCTAGTGGTGGTTACGTTTGGATACCTAGTAAATGTACCGGAAATTTGGTGAGATTTCGTTAATACTCGTTAATATAATAAATAAAAACATTTAAAAATTTAAAAAATTAAAAATAAAATAATTTTAAAAATAACACGTTTCCATTTTTAGATATTTCAGCCGTATCTACGAATGTGTGTTCTGCCTGGTGATTCCTGGACATGCGACACACTGTCGACAGAATCATCTTTTGTAACAAACAGGTATGATATTCCTGAATTGATCAATCCAAATGAAACTAGTTATATGGGATCAACGGAAGATCCATGGAATTTTTCTGAATTTATTGATTCATCATATACTACTGACAGCATTCCTGATTATTTTGATCAAGATACGGCTACTCCGTATCCTTTAATTGAAGATAAAGAAACAATGGAACATAAATATAAATTGAATGCTGATGATGTTTCTGAAATTAATAATATAAAAAAGAGTTATCTACAAACGGAAGATAATAATAAAAAATATTATTCAATGTTGAATCAGTTAATACATCATCTATTAATTTATAAAAAAATTACTATTCCATTGGAACTTTTAGCATCATCGTCATTACCTTCGAAATCTGTTACAAACTTACCATTATCAAGTTATCTTGTACAAAATTATATTCAACAAAATAATAATTTACAAAATACTATTATAACTGATGTCAAATTACAAGATACAACTGAAAATAGTGCGACTTTAAAAAATGATATTAATGAATTGATATCAAACACAGAAAATTCTAAAAATTTGTCAATAACTGATGATGAAAATAATATAATCTTAATTATGGATAATATGGGAAACAAACAATATTTAACTATTGAAAGATATAGATCATTAGGTTACCATTTGGATTCGCAATTTGTTCAAGTTATTCCATGTATAAAAAATGTTCGGATGCCAAATATGACCAATTGTATTAAATATTACATATGTGAACCTGACATGGCCTCTGTAATAGAATATTCATGTCCATTATTCACAGCATTTAATAAATATTCAAAAACATGTGATGCAAGCATTTATAATAAATGTAATGAAAATGAAAATAATAAAGAAAATATAAATTTGTTAGGAAATGTAAATGATATATTTCAAACAAATAAAAATATGTGTACAGAACATGGAAAAACAAAAGATCCTACATCTGAATCTCATTATTACATTTGTTATTCAGCTTCAAATAATTCAGAAGATATCAAATCTATACGAATGTCATGTCCAAATGGTTTAATATTTTGTCAAAGTAGGAAAGTTTGTACAACGAAACGCCTCTGTAAAATATCATAAAAAATATTTTTTTATTTACCTTGTGTTGGAGAATTAAATGCGGATCCAATCTCAGATGATGTATCAGTACTAGACGAACTATGTGCTGGAGAAGTTTGAATTCTGAGAGGTGTAGCATAATCCAATGCACACATTACTACTTTTTCCATACTAATAAAATATTTAAAAAAAATATATATTATAATTTCGTTTAAAAAAATAAAGTATTTTTAAATATCATAAATATTTAATTTACTTTTTGATTTACCTACTTTGATTCTGCCTTTCCAGAAGTTACACTTGTGGCTGGCTCTTCAGTATCTATAGTAGAATCACTATTTCTTTCAACTGTAATTGTTGGTACTGATGAAGATTCATCAATCTCTGATTTATTAGGTGGAACATTTTCATCGTCAGTTTTGTTCTTTTTATCATAGGATTTATCTGATTTATCAGAATCATTTGAATTTTTTTCCGTTCCATCTTGATGACTTAATTTAACAAGTTGTTGCAATGCCTCTAATACTATTTGCCTATTAGTTTTCAACATAGTTAATTTATGCGAAATAGCGAGTCGTCGATCAGGAACAACAGCCATTAAATTAAATCTTATATCTTGTAATTGTTCTCCTGTTGCCATTCCTAAACGGTCTGTAATTACTCTTCTAAATTGTTCAGTCCATTCTTCATGCTCTTTCCACGGACCATGATCCATCGGATATGGTTTTAAACCATCTAATTCAAATAATCTACCATTAATTGGTACATAACTAACAAAATGAAAAGCTTCTCCAGTAAATCTACCAGTTGAAACACCAGTGTTTTTATCTTGACGTCTTTTGGCTTGAGGCATTGCATGAGAATTATGAGCACATGCCAATTCAGGAGTATTACCTATTGCCCATCCTTTATTTTCTGGACACATACCAGATGTATGCATTTTCAATCGGGATAAAGTTGTACCCAAATGAATATTTGGACAATTAAGTAATACAGAAAGTAATGCATGAGTTGCACAACTATTGGGCACAACCTATAAAATAATAGATTATTTGAACTTATATTTTATATAAAAACATTATAATATATAATATATAAAAGATATACATAAAAGTACCTGTTGTGCAAAAAATATATTGTTAACAATTTCTTCATCTTTTACAAAACTTTCATCTTGTTCTACAACTTTACGTCTGGATCTCCTTTCTTCTATCCAACGAAATAAAAATATAAAACCATATACTGGACCTTCCAATGATTTTTGTAAATCATATATTTCTTCTACTTGTACACCTTTTACTCCAAAATCCTCCAATAATAATGTAAATAAACCTAACAACAAAATGAAAATCTTATAGTAATATAATAAAGGTAAGATAATCTTTTTAAGAATATTATGATCTTAATATTATGAAGACAAAAGAATGAAATGATTTTTATTATTTCTTATGATAAAACTAAAATATATTATATTTATAGTAAACATATACAAGTATAATAAAATGAAATCAAATAATTAACATTATTTTATATCATATTTTATATCATTTATAGAAAGTAGAAATTATAATGTTGTATCACAGTAAATTACTTTACACTATATAATAATATATCCAGATAATGTAATGTTAATAGTTATTAAATTAACATACTCTTGTGCGTATTATTTTATACCTGGGTCACTTTCCAATTCTAGCCAACCTTCTGTTAATCGATTTATGTCAACTGGCATTCTGTGTTCAATTTCAAGTTCAACATTTAAAAGAATTTTAAATTCATTTAGAAATTTTATTATACTGTGACAATTAAAGACGCCATATTACATCAAAACACATATCATGTGACGTAGTCACGTGGTAAAAAAAGGCTTAAAAAATATGTAAAGCAATTTTTAATCATTTTTATTTTTTAATTGATTATATATTGGATAATTAACTTATTTAACTAATTTATGTTTAATAAAAGAAATAATTAGTTAAAAATTTTGCTCTTTCAATAAAAAAATTATATAAAAGGAAATAAAATATAATTTATTTAATAAAAAATTTAATATTAATATATGAGTTAGTATTTTTTTCAACAAAATTTTACATTATATATATTTTAATATATTAATATAGGAACAAAAATATAATTTTATTCAAAATACTATTGGATGTACATATATGATTATATGTATATAAATTGACTGTAGCGCATTCTATTAACAATTCTAATAAGATCTTTTGAATGAATACTTTATATATATAAACCACGTCACATATGTTATTCATATTTGCAATAAGTTTGTATTAAAAATAATTAATATGAATATTTTTTCATTAATGATTAGTCTGTTATTATTTTTTCAATTATCAGAATGTACATTATCACCACCCAAAGATAGGAATAATAAAAAAAATAAAGGAAAAATTGAAAATAAGGTAGAGAAAACAATATCGCATAATAATATATCTATGATTTAATTTTGATAATATTATTTCAGAAAGGTCCTGTAGAACAAGATGTTTTCAGCAGAATTTTAGTAATCAAAAATCCTAAAACACATGATATAATTCGAGAATCAGGATTTTATTTTTTTAATACAACTCGTCGACGATTTACTGGAGAGGTTTTGGGGTACATTACACCGGTAAATTTATTAATTTTCATAATATTTTAACTTGGTAAATATGATATTTTTTACATACATATATTTTGGAACAAATTTATTGATGATAAATTTTTTTTAGTGGAATAACAATGGATTTGAAGTTTCTAAAATATTTCATGGAAAATTCACAATGATATCACCAGTATGGTTAACATTTCCAAAAGGCAGTGCATCAACATATAAATTGTCAACTCATGATGTTCAAAAAAAATGGTTAAAAGAAATGAAAACTATAAATAATGAAACCTATCACGTAAAAAGTATGTTAATTTTTTAATATTATTATTTCTCATATATAAGTATACATAAAGATATAATTATTATTTACAGTTTTACCAAGAGTATTATTCGAGCATTGGTCAGTTAATGACATTATTGCATTATATAGTGATACTCAAAAACAAATTGCATTAATTTCAGCACTCACAGATACAGCAAAGGTATAACTATTTTGACAATATTTATAATACATTAGATATTAATTTAATAATATTAAAATAATTGTTATATACAATATTTCAGAATTTTCATTTTGATGGATATGTATTAGAAATGTGGAATCAGTTTGTATCAACAGGTGTAGATACACAGATTGTTGTAGCATTAATTCAATTTATTGCTCATCAATTGAAAAACAATAATTTAGATACAATTTTAGCAGTACCACCCTCAAGAGGGTAAGTTTTATTCTATTATTTTATAATCAAATTATAATTACATTATATTTGAAATGTTCTAAAAATATAAGAAATTATATTGTTTTTTAATATTTCAGCCCTAATATTCAATTATTTAATAGAGATCAATTTGATCAATTATCTCCATATTTGAAAGCATTCTCTTTAATGACTTATGATTATTCAAGCATTCAACGACCTGGTCCTAATAGTCCTCTTGATTGGGTGAGGGAATGTGTAGAATTATTAGTACCTGAAAAAAGTCCTAAAAGGGCTCAAATATTACTAGGTCTTAATTTTTATGGATATAATTACACACCTGAAGGTGGAGGAGCTATCTTAGGTTCAGATTATTTAAAAATTCTTGAATCCTTTAAAGGGAAAATTCAATGGGATGATAACAGCAAAGAACACTTTTTTGAAACAAAGTAAGATACAGGATCATAAAAAAATTTATAGCTTAGGTAAAATTGTCTTAGTTTAGGATAAAATGTGGGATATTTTAGGTCAACAGGAGGCAATGGAATTATCTTTTATCCTACATTATATTCTATTTTACATCGATTGGATCTTGCAGCAGAGTTAAATACAGGTATATCTATTTGGGAACTTGGTCAAGGATTACATTATTTTTATGATTTATTGTGAACATTTTGCATATATTACAAATATACATAATATTAAAAAAATAAAATTATCTAATATAATTTCCAGGTACATATAAATATTCTTAAAATTAATGAGTTAAATTTTTGTTATATATTTAAATGTAATAATTTCATAATCAAAATCGAGATAGTATTTTTATATTAATCATTCAGATCATATTCTATCATTGAATATGGAACTTTTAAACATTAATGTACAGTTCCTTTAGGCATTATTGTAATATTATTATTATTTTTTAATACTTGCACTTCTTCTCTTCCTTTAAACATCATCATACATTGAGGTCCTCGTATAATGTTGTACATTAATGCCCAGCATAATTTTGCTGGTAATAAGCTTTTATAAAAAAGAAAAAATATTATAATTGTTTTTTTTTTATAAAAATATTTTACTTAGAGTAAGAAAAACTTCGTGATATTTACCATTTTAATGGTAAAAGAAATCTAACTGATGCAGGCAATACAACAATTGCTTGATTCAACAATATTCCAGATACGACTTCTTGTGCGACATATTCAGGTTGTAACATTGACATCAATCTAAATTATAAATCTTTGCATATCATATCACCACAAAAAAGCTAAAGTTTATTATAATATTAAATTACATTGTATACCTTGGTTCTACTCCATGAAACATGCCTGTATTGATAAAGTAAGGGCAAATTAAAGTGGCGTGAATTCCATCGTAACCGTGAGTCTACGAAAGTTGCAAAAAAAAAAAAAAAAAATTATCTTACAGTACAAAAAATCAATATAGAATAAAATAAAAAAATACAATTCTAAAATATTCTTACTTTAAGTTCAGTAAAAAGACTTTCATGATAGCCGATGGCCGCAAATTTAGTTGCCGAATAATCAGTACATTTGTAGGTACCTAAAAGTCCTGCAACGCTTGCCACAGTTACAACGTGACCGTGATTATTTTTCATCATATCCTTCAGAAATACTTTGTTAATCTGTCAAATATAAATATCTAAATATTTTTGACTTAACTTAGTATTCATTTCTACTTACCCAATAATGAGAGAGAATGTTCACTTTATAAGTACGATCGATTTCAACATCGGATAATTCCCAAAATATTTTTCCGGATACATAACCTGCGTTATTTATCAATAACGTTACCTAAATATCAAAATCATATTAAGTCACTTTAATTTATTTGTTGATTATTCATTTAACAATTTTATTTACTGAGCCAACTTCGATTTGCACTGTTTTCGCCATTCTGTAAATTTCTTCTTTATTAGTAATGTCGCAATAATAACCCCAACATTTTCCTCCATTATGTCTAATCTCTTGAACTGTACTCTCTAATCCTGAAATTTCATAGAAACATAAATTAGCTTTTTTCTCTTTTTTTATATCAATTAGGATATATTAGGACTTGCCAATTCTATTAATGTCCCAGATGACAACGTGTGCTCCAAGTTTTGCTAACTTAATCGCGATCAATCGTCCGATTCCTCCGGCGCCTCCCGTTATCAATGCAATTTCTCCTTTTATAGATTTTATTCGATAACGTTTTGGAACGAACGTCAAAATAATAGCTTCACTTATGTAAATAAGTGCCATTCCCATAAATAGTAGAAAATCGTAAATTAGGATGAGCCATTCTGCTAGTTGCATTATATATTCTTGAATTAAAGAATTAAAAATGATAATTTAAACATATTAAAATAAATAAATTAAAATTATTCAAAATTTTATCTTTCTAAATATTTAAATCATGTTATGGAAATTAATAAGAGAGCACAGAGTACAAACATTCACCAAATTATTACAATATCGAGTATAAAATTTTTCTTCATTTTCTTTCATTAATTTAAGTGGTCATATTAATATTACTTAACTACATTTTATGCTATATATTCAAACATTATTGTACATGATTCCTTCTTTTTCTATAAAATGTTTCATATTCTCTTTTAATCGTCATGCTTTCAATAAAAAACCGGTTCCTTTGTTATTTCTTCATTTCTGTGAAAAATAGAAATCGGTAGGAGCCTGGTAAATTCCAGCGATGAACAGAAATTACGTGTATTACGGTATTCCTACGCAAGTAATGGTATACTCTAGTCTACAAGTCTCCGATTTACGGTTACTGGTGTTATTGGTGTCCGGTCAATGCACCAAGAGTGCGCGCGCGCAAATCCTTTTATAGGAATCAAGCAAGGATGCATAGTTTATTACAATATATTCTACGATCATCTTCTACACTTCTGTCTGAATATTTATTGAATAAATTATTTAAGTGAGGATCATTTCGCACGAGACATGAATATAAAAAGCACATAAAATAGTCGAGCTTATGCATTTCTGGTCTTTTTTTATTTTTCTTATTTTTCTTGTTTCTTCGTTTATGAAATTGAAATTCTACCTTTAAATTTTAATCACAAAGAAATTTTCTTTCGAATTTCGAATATATTTTGTGCGCGTGAAAGAAAAGATTCCATATCCGTTATCTTAAATTTAAACAAAGGCGAGACCACTTCGTAGCGATGTTTAAAAGTATTCCTATTTGATAAAATATCATTTGATTGACTTTTTACAAAAAAATTGCTTGACAATTGAAAAGTTATGTATAAAAAATATTAAAAAATATTAATAAAAAAGAAACTTGCACTTTCAAGTTTTAAATTTTTTATTTAAATTTTAGTACGTAAGTTTTTTATTATGAAAATTCTTTTAAATCACTGTAAATCAATTCAATGTACATAACGCAAAGAAAATGTGGTGATAATGTTATTATTCACACTTTTTTTTCTCAATAAAACTGAAAATAATTTTCACTATTATTA